AAAGAAAAAAAAACCAGAAAAGAAAAAAAGGTTTTACCAGTATCTCTATTTAGTCTAAAAATCCTTCTCACCCGCCTGTTGAGCGCAGTTTTGCTACCAAGCTTGGTCATGTCTCCAAGACTGTTCTGAGAAACCCTCCTGTCAACCTCTTCATGCAATCCTACGGAAAAGAAAATAAAGGCAGGCATTTTCTCCAGCCATATACATTTGACTAACCTATGAAAATAATACTAATGATCTGTCAATTATTTAAACAATTTCTTCCAAAACACAGATTTTGGATCATTGATTTTGTAATGCTCCTATCACCCTCATGCAGAACCTTACCTGCATTATCTGCATAAGGAATATCCCCATTGGTTGTTGAAGCTACCATCAGTTTTTTTGCATTACTAAGCCCTCGGCTGTTCAGAAAAACAGGCAAATGGACAATATTTCTCATGTAATCATGGCCATTTATGTTTGAATCCCGTAGAACACTGTTCAGATTCTGGTTAATTGCCTTTATAATGATGTGTGGGTCACTTGCAAAAATCGCAATGAATGGGCCTTTTGAAAACAAGACTCGCACCTGTAAAAAAGTACACCTTGTTAGTAACAGCTAACTGCAGCTGCAGATCATTGATCATTTGGCTCAACAGTTTATATTCATTCTGTTCAAGGAATAAACCTGAGAGGCCAAGAGATGTAGGGAGATGTCAGCTTCTTCTATATGAGATATCTAACATTAGGAACTTATCCACAGCTAAAAATAAGCTCAACAATTTAACAGCAGAATTTACAGTGGAAGTCATCACCAAGGACGTATCATGAAGTGATGTTCCAGCTCCCTGCAAATATTTAGCATTTAAGTATTTTTCATCTAAAGTACTTTAATGGTAAAAATATGAAAAACTCTCCAAACATTTTAAGTTTGTGTCAACAGAATAATTATTTTCCATGGTTTATATTTGATTGTTTCAAACTTTTTCAAAAGTACTAACATGCAATTTAAATTTCAACTTTTAAAACCCATCACTCTCAGCATTAAAGTTACACCAATGTACACAAATATTAATTACCACAACATAGCTTTCTTTCTACAGAAAACACACAATAACTGTATGTATCTGAGCTCATTTGTGGAAGAGATCATACACATAATCCAGACGTTATCTTTATAAAATGATCCAACTCACAGTATCAAGCATCTGTAAAACTTTGTCCTGTTCACAAGCATCCAGTCCATCAATAATCACAACAAGCCTTGTCTGATTCTGAGTAAAGCTGTCAATGGTTTTTGCCATTTTGGCCATCAGTTCCACTTCACATTTCAAAACCTATAAAAACAAAAAAACCCAAAAACCCCAAAAAACAAAGAATGACATGTCTATAATACTTAAAACTGATAAAAAGATATATATTTGCTTTTGCAGACTGCTATTTGTCCCAAAAATACTTCAGTAAGATTACAAGAATAAATTTACAAATACTCTAAGTGAAAAGTCCTAAAATGTCACTTCCAACATATTAATTTCCTATTTGAACAAAAATGTACAGCAGAAACATATATTCCACTTTGATATAACAAACTATTCTTATTTAAAATCCATTACAATGTTATTTAAGAAAACAATATTTATGAACAGTAAAGCATTATTTCAGAAGCAAATAAAAGAGCATTTGTAGCTTCAGCTAGCCCTCAAACACAGCTTTGCATAAAATGTACAGCAAAATTTTCTGCCTTCCAGCCAAGCATATTATGCTATTACTCTAATACTCAGTCATTGCTATTCAAGACATGCAGTCTGAAGATTTGTTAAGCTTTTCAACATTGTTACACATGTAACAACCAACCATAACATAGAAACAAAGGTGGAATTTGCCTTTCCTAACTTCAGCAGCTAACAGGTAGACATCAAAATCTGATCTCTTAACCAGTAGATTCATTAGAATGTGCTCAATAAGATGACATAAAACATGAGATTAACAACTCTCCTGAAATCCCTGCTTCTGCTTCTCTACTGTGATGGCAAAGGGTGAATCTAACTCCTAAAGGCTGAAGTTATGTCAGATAAATACCACTCAACAAACAACTGTCAAGAAGCACAGTACCAAGACACAATCAGGTCTTCTGTGCTGCAAAAGCATGGCTCTAGGCATGCTGGCATCAGAAGGGATTCACCTTTCCCAAAGGGCAAAGAGAGCCTTTGACCAGGAGCCAGCAGGGTTAGCTGACACAGCTTTAAACAAGAGGGAGGGGTAGTATTAGGCTTGCCCACAACAAACTGGAATGACACACCAAGGTTAGAGGGATGCAGGGCTAGTGAGGGCTCTCATCTGAGATGTGCTGGACACACTGGAGCATACTTGGAAGTCTTACAGAGATGAGGCAGAGGCTCCTGAGGTAACAGAAGCCAACAGGGAAACACCACCAAAATACTTCAAAATAATTAAAGGGTTCTCCTCTAAGAAGGTGACACAGCTGACAGCCCAGCTGAGGTGCCTCTACCTCAGTGCACACAGACTGGGCAACTAACAGGAGCAGCTGGAAGCCACCGTGCTGCCACAGAGCTGTGACCTGCAGCTGCCATTCCAGAAACTTGGTGGATGAGTCCCATGACTGGAATGCAACTATTGACGGCTGCAGGCTGTTCAAATGGGACAGGAGAGGAAGGAGGGGAGGAGAGGTTGTCCTCCACATCAAGAGATGGAGAGATCACAAAAAGATGCCTCTGAGAAGCAGCCACAAACTGGTGGAGTCAGTGCATAAAAATTTGCGAGGACCACACCAATAAATGACACCTTGGAGCTTGTGTCAGGCCTGATCAAGGGGAGCCTATTGACAAAGGCTTTGTGTCCCAGCTACAGGAGGCATCATGCTCATGGGCTTGCATCCTCCTGGGGAACTTATATGACCCCGGCATCTGGAAATGTAAACCCATGAGCTGTCAGCAATCCAGGAGATTGCTGGAATTCAGCCAGGTAACAGACAAGCCCTACCAGAAGGGGAGCAACACTGGACCTGATGGTCACTAACGTAAGTGAGTTAATTTGGGATGTCAAGCTTGGAGCTGCATCCTGGGCTGCAGTGATCACACACTGCTGGAGTTTGCAGTCCTGAGGGATATG